AACGAAACGGGATTATGTCAAATTAGCTAACATAATTAGAATCATGTTTGCAAAGTATCATCTTTTTTTAAATCCCGCAGGTCGGAAGATTATTAGAATATCAAGCAACATACCTTTGTCATCAAATGAATACAATGCACATATTGCTGTGTTGGTCTAGTTTACTTCTTCTTTCATTTCTTCATGGATACTTTTCTTCCATTAGTTGTTGGTCTCGTGGCATTGGTTGACTGTCTCGTTTGAAAAATTAAATTATTTGTTTGATCAGTCTCATTGACCTTCTTTGGGAAATATATTCTTTCTATATTTTCGTATGTATTTTATTTGTGTTGGTTGGAACCTTTTTTAAATATGGGTGTCGTTGGCTAACGGTCTGATATGCTTTTGTAATTTGTGTTTTTGTGGGTGTGTATGTGTTCGTTTTCTTTGAGTTTCTCTAAGGCTTCTGGAATACTAGGAGCTGTATGATAAATATTGTCAATATGTTATAAGGATGGAAACGTAAAAAACATAACACAATACCACAATGTTTTAAAAAGGGTACAATGTATGGACTATCGGTTGTGGTATAATTTTTTGTCAAAAGTGTTGCTATGAAGCAGATATTCGTCTCACCCACGGACCTTATCAATTTGAGAACAAGGTACAGGTCAAGCTGATAAATGGCAGTTCGAGTAGACTGTATGCTTATTTTTATTGTTTTTTATACTGTCATTAATCACACATTTGTCGTCAAATTGTGCCGATATTGTTGGGATAAGTTTGACCTACTCAGCAGTATGACTATATTGTCTTGATCTTTGGATATTTCTACACGGAATCTGCTCGTTCGATACATTCTCAACCAAATACCAACTCTTCGTCAGATTCAACAAACCAAGTGAGTTGTTAGGGTTATTGCCACTACTCGTGATTGTATCCGCAACGCTTTACATAAGCCTTAATTCTATACTCCTCAAGTGACTTTTGTTCAGTCTATAATAAAATGTATTGTACTGAACTCGATTTGCAGAAAAGCATCGCATTATAGGACACACTATGATTAAACAAATGTTTTTCATTATGTTGTTTTTAATTCGGATGCTGAAGTGGATATTTAACGGTATTATCTCCCGAACATCTGTCGTCAGCTTAGATTCTGGGAGCTCAACTGGTGGGATAATTTTTTGCATAGCAGCTCAGTCAGTATGACTGAGGTGTGGGACTGCACTTACGTAATTTAACCATCGAAACTGTGGCACGTTTTCTTCATAAACATCCCAATAACAAATATTCGTTGGATGCCACAAACCAGGTGAGGCGTTTGGGTTATTGTCACTTATCGCCAACGGCAAGGAAGGCTGTTGATACCCCCCCCCCTCCCCCAGTGAACTATGAATTTGCTCAGTGACTGTGGAATTCATATAAACTTTACTGCATAATGTTCAATTAAAAATACTCTTGCTGATTTATGGCATATCCTTGATCCGCGACTGGGCCCAAACCTTAATTTATTTTACATGGCACATGGCACTACAGGGTGTGCTGAATAAAATGAAACGAATGAATGAAATGAGGAAATATCGGATTAATGACTTGGGATAGGATAGATGGAAAATCGACGAAAGTTTGTACTCGCGCACACAACTATTAGGTGGTGTTTGTTTCTGTTACCTACCCTTCAAGCATGTGCATGTCTGCAATTCTGCACATTGCAGTCTTCATTCACCATCGGAGGAGATCCCGGCACACACATGCTTATCCAACCGTATTAACGTTGGCCTTCTACCGGGCACGTATTTAGCACTTTGCCGAAAAGGAGCAATGCATGCTATATACAATGTCTTGTTCAAGGACATAAACAAAAGTTGTGTCGGGACTCGTACCCGCGACCATTTAACTTTCAGTCAAGTGATTAAACTACTCCACGACGACACCAAAAGTGTAAATCGACGAGAACGAGAGGTTCTATCTCTAAAGCCTGGTCAGTAAATAACGCACAACATGTTTTTTTTTAGGCTTAGTGACAATCTGAGAGACGGAGGATGGTAATATTTGATACATGGATTTAAACTTAAAATCTTCTGGTTTTTAAACAACAACACTTTTTGAATACTAGTAGACATGTCACAATATTGGAGTGACATATCAACCATCTTTCGTACATCATTATACCAGGAAGTAGGAATAAATTGATATTCCATCTCGAAGGAATTTCCCGAGGGAAGTATATTCTGGATTAAATTGGCTTAACAACATGAAATGTAACTCTCCAACCATCAACAACTACCCTTATCTAACCACAGATCCCCTCCGGCATGCAATATATTACGAAATAATACGCATCGCCGTCCTCTTCCCTAAGTTCTCTATTAACTCGGTTGTTAAGGTATGGAGGCATCGAGCTTGCATGTTATGCGTAGCACCGCAACTATGACGTCATGTTCATTGAACATGACGTCATTTCTGTGGTGCCATTGTTCAGTGAAGGTGTATATAGCTATGCAACAGAATCCACAAAATATCACCAACACAACTTTATATTGGTTATCAAATCCTTGTCTCGTGCTTGGGTAACTCTACTGGAGACATAGCCATTTGAACCAGCGAATCGACCAAGGAAAACGTGAATAAGAGCGAATGTAAGTTTCTCATGGAAATATTGACATTTTCCCAAAATTTTCGAATTTTTGTAATAGTTAGGAAGGTAGTCCAATGGTTTATCTCCCAAAAGAACTAACTTTAATTGTTTTATAATTATGTTTGCGTATGTGTTGAATGAGGGTTAGATGTTGTCAATTCAACACCACTTTTCACCCCGAGTACGGGCTGGCAAAGCATAAGCCGCCTTTCTCGCTGGGCTGGGCTGTGGGTTGAAAGGGAGAACTTAGTGCTGCCAGGGAGCTACGTGGTCTCGGAAGGGGATAAATGTGATTACGGTAGGGGGAGACGCTCGGTACCACGGATAATTCCTAAGGGGCCTCTTGGATGGGATTTCCATTCATTCCAACTCCCTGATTATACACTAGTATTATATTTTAGAACAGCAAAGGCGTCCATAATTAACTTGGTGTTGGTGGAAAAAAATCATACACTTGTATTTAAAATGTAGACAACAAAGAAAGAAGGGTGCAATTGGGGTGCAGATTTACACTCACTTACGCGTATATGGCAGAGGGTGCTGATCTGCTCCTTGTATGATGCAGTATCTAACAAGCGGTGTAAATTTGCACCTTTATGGGTGCGAGACGTTCAAGGGTGCGCAATATGCACCCGGCGTAATTATTTATCAAGGCCTAATGATAAATATATAATAAGTTTAATTTGTTCTAGAGGCTATGTAGATATTCCAAGAGCAAGAAAAAACGCGTTTAAAGTTAAATTGATTTCGATTTTTAATAATATATATTTTTATAAAAATCAGCTCATTATCATTTAAAACCAATTAAATTCAGTACCTTTTCTATACAGTTCATCATGTTTACATTATATGTAACAAACGGTAAGGACTGGGGGCATACGATTATCAGAAGGTTTGCCTATACATCAATATTTAACACTACAATACATCGTCTATACATACTCTTGATAAACGGACTGCATCGTTTCTTTACATAAACCAGCTGGATACAGTGTAATGTAGATTAAACGTTAGGCCTTAGGGTAGGGAATATAAGTAAGTGATTTCGGTTAGGGTTAGAGTTGGGGTTAGGGTTAGGGTTAGGATTAGGGTTAAGATAATCATGCAAACCCATCTTTCTTCAACCAGCCCATAGTTGTCTGTGACATTTAAGAATTAGCAGTGTCCTAATATTAAAAATATGCAATGAAACCCGTCTACCTTCTAAACTTCAACTGTCAGACACTGTCTAGTGACTGACTGACTTCTTTTTTTGTTTTGGTAATAAAATACATAACATTAGCTGTAAAAAGTACATGTGCGTCTTGTTATGGCCAAAATTAACCTGATTGAACTTTTGTGCAGCGCAAATCGTACGATTAAAAAGAGTGTGAAAATAAGACTATTACTTTAATGATTCGAAAACTTTTTTCCCACTAAAAACATTTCCAAACCCTTTCGTTTTGAGGGAAATTCTAAATTAGTATTGCCTTTCGATTACTGTTCGAATTTAACCTTTTTATTTGTTGGGGCATGTAAATGAGACATAATACCTTTAACCTCAACCTACCTCTCTTATTTCATAATTACTTGTTTATGATCAATTCATAATAATAGTCAGCTTCAATGCAACCCATTTATTCGTCTTTTAAATAACTTTTTAAAAAACAGAATAAAACACCTTATCTAAAAAAAATACATTTACTAATGATGAGCGAGAATTTTCTTATGTTTGTTTGAACCAGTGATGATACTCCTTCCCTAAATGTACTTGCCTGCCGTTGTAAGAACATCGGCCATTGAAGAAATAAATGCCTACCATTCAACAATATTACCGAGTGGTAGCAAATTAGTTAACGAAACTCTCTGATGATCAGACAATTTTAGTACAAGTTTACGCAACCGATCGACAAATGCCTTTCCACCGATCGGCAATTGATCGCCCACTTTTAATTTTTGCGATGAGTGCAGCTTTGTTTGGTTGTCAGACGTGGGCAATAAGCTTAAGGTGACACAGCTTAATTCATTTGAGTGTAGTTTGCAGGCACAGTCTCTAATTTGTCACTGTATTATAATGTATGAAGCCTCTAACTATATCCGTCTGTCTGTAGCTGTATTAGCTTAAAGACAGAGCAGTATGTTATTTGCATAATTCTCACAGTTCAGATACTGTTACTCACAGTGACTTTAAAGGGTTTGTGCTTGTAAACTAACTATGGTGTGCCTGAGTTTTGAGTATTCGTCTCATACTCGGATCTGATTTATATGAAGGCGAGGTACAGGTCAAACTAGCGGATTGTAGTTGGGCTCGACTGTATGATTTGAATAATTGGTTTAACCTATAGTATTTATCAACATACTTCCAACTCTGGTTAGATCAAATATTGGTGAGAAAGTTTTGACCGTGGCAGCGCGACTAGTATGACACAAGTGACGAGCTGTATTTACAGATTGTTACGCAACAAAAGCTGCTCGTTTGCTTCAGTGTCAAAGAGATACCAAGCATTTATCGGATGCCACAAACCAGGTAAGGCGTTTGACTCTTCATGTTGATAGGTCTAAGGAAACATGACGAGGGACCTGGTAATGAGGATTAATGCTTTACCAAAGGGCACTAGCGCATCGTCTTGGCTTCGAACCCGGGTCACCGGATTACGAGACCACGGCTCTACCAAGTGAGCTATCTCGCCTCCATGACGTGTGTGAAGTGCGCGCGAGCGTGCGTGTTTGTATGTGTGTAGCGAGTAGTAGATTTACAAGAAAAACTAGGCTATTTCTTTAAAAGCTCTGATAACACTAATTATTTCTAGCTAAAAACAGGATTTTTCCAACCTGTAGTATTTGTCAGTGGTTAAAAAATAAAACATTGATCGTTTCCGTCACACCCTGATTATATATCTAGAATCCTTTAAAGAAAACAAATCCCCTTGCTGTGGTACAGAACTGAGGGACTAACAATACTTTTAGAATGCATTTGCAAAACTTCTGCATGGGTGCATCTACTTCTAATAAACGGTGCCCCTTCTTCTATTTCTCACGCATATACCTTCAACATGAAGGTTGGAGAAACAAAGTCCCGTCGTAACATTAATTTGCGGTGATATAACATGACTTTTTGTATTACTTTATGGTTCCCTCTATTCAAGCGCATGAAGTCAATAATACACTCATGTTGATGCGGCAGTTAATATCCCATAGCGATCTCAATGAAAAATTATTGCTAGATATAATCTCTTGGTTTGCCATATATACATTTTTAGTTTAATATCTAGGAAATCGCAAGAAATGCCAATAAAAAACAAAACATGAAAAACAGGAAAAGTGTTAATAACAAAAATAAAATGGATTGTTGATACATGTTTAACTATGGCTGTCATATTACCATGTATGTATTAATAAGCGAATATCAACGTTGCTTTTCAACTATTTAAAAGACAAGGGCCTAAAAAGCCACTGAAATGTGTATATAATTTGCTCCAAAAAAAAATCATTTTAGTGTTGGGTAATGGCAACATAGACACAAAACTATAAATTATATACCTTCGTACGGTTTCTGCCTGAAACCTGTCCGGCTGTTTACTCTTTGTGATAATTATGTCTCCTAAAGTCATGGAAGTATAGTGGGGATCTCTATTTCGGCGCACTCTTATTTTATTTCAAATTGACAATGATATTTTGTTATATTCCTGTAGTGATCCATGTTTGCATCATTATGTTTATCAAGTGTGTCTAAAGTTTTGCTAGATTTAAGCAAGACAGATATCACGTCAATATGAAAAAGCATCCAAGTTATTTTGACAATGCGGTTTGAGACTTTTTGGGGTAAGAAGGAGGGGAAGGGCCCTCTGAGTGAGCTTTATATTTAAAAAAAGGGTAAGAACTTTCAGAATATGGTTCTTTTTTCCGTTCCCACTGTTTTGCGTTCGACTCCACTTGTTCTCTAAAATTATTTCTGACCACAGAAATATGATAAATCCGAAAGATGTAAGTCGATCCATTATTTCTTTACTTGCGCAATACGCAATATATTTGTGATTGAATGTTGCTTACGCGAAGGTTGGCCGATAAAATACCCCTTATGTTCAATTCATAACAATATGCTTCAATGCAATCCATATAATCGTCTTTTAAAGATAGGTAAAAAGTGGGCCTCGGGAAAGACGAAAAATCTTTTCATAGTACAGCCCCTTTAACCCTAATAAGGCCGGGGGGCCATTATGCCCCCCCCCCTCTACGATTTTCCGATTGCTCGAGAACGCATATGGATGGCGTCCCGCCGCTCGCTGAATTTTTTCTTTCGAGTCTTGCGCAACTTTTAAAATATTTTTTTTGAAAATCGGACCTATGGTTACAAGTTCACGTAACTTTTTGTCTTTGCATGTCAGCCCGAAAATCGCTCGTTTTCGTGATTTGTGTACAAAACATAAAGAAAATTCATTTTCCTAAAAACAGATCAAAAATGGTTATTGGGTCTTGTTTAAAGTTAAGCTGGTTGTTTTGGGAGTCAAATTAGTTGAAATGTAGAAAGAAATGAAATAAGACAACAAAAACAATGAAAAACATAAGTTAAAAAAACAAGGAAATACATAAAAAATATCAAAACAAGGGATAACATAAAGAATAAGCTGGCTCTTCCAATTTTTTTTGTTGTTGTATTATTATTCAGAATGGTCTAATGAATATATGTAGTAAAAAAAATGCTTAGATATGAATAATACATGATTTATGGGTTTAAATGTGATTTTGTTTGACTGTATTTGCATTGAGTACCATAAATATGCAATTGAGTGAATTAAAAAAAAAAAATGAAATTATCATATTGTTCTATACACTTCACTTGCCATGCGTGCAAATTTTCGCTGCTGAGATCTTAAGGGGGGCCATAATTCATGAAGCCTTAAAGATACTATGTCCCTTTTGCAGCCAAAAGTCTGGAGAACTTTGCAGGAATTATGAATGTGTAATGTATGTCTGTTTACTTGACTGACTTTTTTTCTTCTTCGGTAATAACATACATAACATGAGCTGTAAAAGGTATGCCTACGCGTACTTATCTACATGAATAACCCACTTCTTGTAATGGCCAAATTTAAACTGATTGAATCTTTGTGCAGCAAAAAACGAACGACCATTCGGTACAATGGTCTGAAAATTAGACTATTACTTACTTACGTGGTAGCACTTAAGTAGATTTGACAACTAATAGTCGTTATTTTTCCACTTAAAGACATTTTCAATCCCCCTTTTTTAGGGAAGTTCTAAATTAGTATTACCTTTTATATGCCGTTGGAATTTAACCTTTTCATTTTTTGGGCCTTCGAAATGGACATAGTACCTTTAGACATAACGTAGCACCGTCTGTTTTCTAGGTCCGTCTGTCTAGCTGTGTCAGCTAAACTACAGAGCAGTATGTTAGCTGCATCATTCTCACAGTTCAGATACTGTTACTCACAGTTACTGACCAGGGTTTGTCTCATCAGGTATTCGTCTCATCCTCGGATCTGTTTATATGCGGGCGAGGTACAGGTCAAACTAGCGGGTGGCAGTTGGGCTCTACTGTATGATTGATATCATTGGTTTGAACTATAATGTTCAACATATCTTCAACTTTGGTGATATCAAATATTGGTGGGATGTCTATGAATATGGCAGCGCGACTAGTATGACACAAGTAACGAGCTGTATTTACAAATTGTTACGCAACAAAAGCTGCTTGTTTTCTTCAGTGTCAGAGAGATACTAAGCATTTATCGGATGCCACAAACCAGGTGAGGCGTTTGATTCTTCATGTTGATAGGTCTTAGGAAACATGACGTGAAACAAATAATAATAAAAACGTTAAGTTAAAGGTAGACTCATTCTTGTCGACATTAAAACATGTTTATAAACAACAACATGTGTTTCTTTTGCGAACCAAAGGTCTGTTTTTAATAAATCTTGCTATCAATATTAGGTTGCAATAATTGGTATAAACTCCTGAAATATTGGCATGTTATTTTTTGAGAACAACAATTCGTTATATAAATAAACCATTTGTTATCAGTAAAATAAAACGTATGAAACATATGAAACATCATTTTTGCATGATTTTGAAGTACATGACCACCTGTCCACTTTTTGGATGCATCCTCAATACAGTTTAGGATAACGGGTTTGTCGATCCATTTTAAAAGGTAGTTTGTTGTTGTTGTTTTTTTGTTTTTATGTTTTATTTGGCGTCTTTTTTGGGATTTGTTCTCGGGCCGCGTGACCCTTGTTATCAGTTGTCTCAGGAGATTCAATGTGTTGATGTCGTCACAGAGAAGAGATAGGAATGGAACTTATGCTTGAAATGTACTTGCAATACCAGTTACGATTTAATGAAAGCAAGGATTGGTAAAACCAAAAGCGAATATTTGCTTGAAGGTTCCGTCATCTTTCGCGTAATTTGATCATTGAAGCCGTCTATTTCGGAAGAAGGTCTGCTGATTTACAAAGCTTTTGCATATTTCGCACTATTCCATTCTCAAAAAACTGCGACTAATTGCGTTTTTAAATGGCTTTCCCTATCTCTTATTTTGTGTCACTTTCAATTTTTATTAATGTGTGTTGCTGAAAGGTCTGCTGTTGTCGCAATCTTAAACTGCCTTAAAAGTTATGGAGCACCTTTAAGAGGATTTGAAACAGTTTTTCAGTATATCTTTATATTCAGGCTTCCTTTAAAAAATAACATGATTATTATTCGTTTATGTTGTTATCGTCTCATACCCACGTATTGGACTTACATCCCCCCCCCCCCCCCCCCCCCCCCCCCAAAAAAATAGCCCAAAACGCTTTTTTTAATCGAAATATATGAAGAAAAAAAAGCTTTTTGTATTAATAGTTCTCATCAGACAAATTATTTCGTGCTGGTATATGGAATTTTTCGGACTTGGAGTATTTGTAAGTGTGTGTTTTTGTTCGGATATATATATATATATATTTGTTGTTAGGGCTGTAATTATTTTGTCCTGTCAATCTATCAAAGCATGCACAGTTGCATGATTTAAGCGGAATCCATATTGATTGTTGATAATATGATTATTGCTACTCAGGTAAGAATAAAGCCGTTTGCGCATACATTTTTCTAGTATTTTAGACAGAGAAGGTAAAATTGAAATACGCCTGTAATTTTCAAAAGCATGACGATCATCTTTTTTTATAAATAGGAACAATTCTAGCGATCTTTAGTTTATCTGGAACTATTCCAGTAGCTAAGGATTAAATAAAAATATGTGTCACTGATTTGAAATTTGCATTGATATTTCTTTTTAAAATGACAGAGCTAATATAATCAAATCCACATGAGTTGGTTTTTTTCGGTTATTTACATTGTTCAATAATTTCACTTTCATTTATAGATGTTAGATATAAAGAGACAGCATTAGGATTTGTCAGATAATCTTTGAAATCTGAGGATACAAAACTATCATATTCGAGCAATGAAGTAATGGCTCTGGTACATGAGTTAATGAAAGGATTATTAAATTAATTTGCAATTTGTCGTGG